CTTCATGTCTGACTTGTCCATTTTTATGGTTTCTATTTTTTTTTTTCTTCATGCTGTTGAGCATTCTTATAGCTATTACTTTGAACTCTATACCTGATAAATTGCTTGTCTCCATTTCATTCATCTTTTTCCCTGGAGATTTTTTCTGTTTTTTCATTTGGGGTCTGTTTCTTTGTCTCCCCATTTTGGCTACCTCTTTGTACTTGTTTCTCTATATTAGATAGATATGCTATGACTTCCAGGCTTTGTGGGGTGGCCTTATGTAGTAGGTGGCCTTTGGGGTCCATTAGTGCTGTCTCCTTGATCACCTGACCTGGGTGCTCCAGGAACGTCCCTTGTGTGGGCCCTCCTGTTGTATTTGAGTCTTGATTTCTATTGGCCCATTGGTCCCTGGGATCAACCCTCAGGCTGACTCACTATGAGGCTCAACCCCAACCATGGCTTGTGAGCTATGCAGGTGTTGCCCACATAAAGAAGTATTCATTTCATTAGAGTTTGATACCTTCTGAGATCTCCCTTTAGATATGCTTGCATGTGAAGCTTATTGGATCCTGCTCTGATGTGGTCTGAAGTTCGCCACTGGGTGTGTTGGCTCTGGGTCTCTTGGGAGGAACTCTGGTGCGGGCCAATGTCAGACACTGCCTGTGACTCATCTTGGGCAACTTGTTTGGTGCTATAAGCAATCCACAGTTTGTGGCTGCCTCTGCTGGGCCTGGGTGTGCAATAGAAGTACCAAGCCTTGCACCAAGGCCTGCTTTTACCAGTATTAAGACCACGGGCAGGTCAGAAAAAATCCCAGAACACCCAAGATCCACTTCCACCTGCCTCCATCTGCCAGCTGCCTGTTAAGCTCAGTCACTGAAAGAGCCTCTAGTGGTACTGGAGTTGTATGAGGTAGGTGTACAGTGAGTCACCAAATAAGGGCAAGTGAGTGGCTGTACTATGATGGGGAGGTCAGGATTCAGGGAAGGGGAGTGGTGGTCCCTACCCCAGAACTACAGCACTCAGGCTGTCCTGGATTTTGCCCAAACCTCAGCAAGGTGGAGCTACTAGGAGCCAGGCTGGTGGTGCCTCCAGAGCCTAGAGAGTGAGTCTGCTGGGAAGCCTGGAAGGTTGATCTATTGGATCTCCTATGAGGAGGCAGTGCCAGTGAGGGTCATGGGAAAGTGAGGGAATGACCATTAGGTGCATAGCTGGTTTCCAATTTTTCATCATCACACACAATAAATAATATTGTAGTCTTTTCCTTTTTGGGGATAATTTTAATTACATGACTTACCTGGAATGAGAAAATAAGGTGAAAAAGTATGAACATAATTTTCTTTCTAAGCCCTGACCCTTTGCTTCTATTAGAAATTGTACTCTCTTTCCCACTACTTGCTAAGGTAAACTTGCTGGGCAAGCTTAGGGAACAATAATTTTCAATTGTAAATGGTTCTGGATGGGTCTGTTGCAAAGAATAATTTATTCATGTGAAGTAACAGAAACATTTGGATTTGGTTGGATTTGTTACCAGTATTAATATGCTTTTAGTGTTTGAATGTATATCATCTATTTATGCAGCGATAGAAGGAAGGGCACATTTTATTGAATTGGGGATAAACATCGTCTGGGCAGGTGGCGATGAGGAATGGAGTGGGCTGCTTAGAGGCATGTTGCTCCTCTGCTATTGGGGAGGCTGTTGAAGAAGTTACGTGTCCTTGAAAAGATGTCCCCATGACTGGAACAGAGCTGGAATCATTTTGGATTGAGGTGGTTGGGTTCAACTTTCCCACTAGTCATGGCTGTTAGAATTTAACGGGAGCTCAGTTTCCTTCTTTCCTGGATCTCAGACAACTCAGTCTCAAAAGCGCTCTGCTTCTCTTCAAGTGTTTCCAGAGAAGACAGCCTGAGGGAGAGGAAGTGGTGCTAATTAAATCCTCTGTGTTTTCCAGGCACAGGAGTCTCTCGCAGATGTCTGTTGTTAAGCGCTTGTTCACAGAGTGCAGCAAGTACAGAAGCAGGCTTTCCTTCCCCACAGGCACAAACCTTCCTTCACAGGTTACAGGGAACCCTAGAAATGCACTTCCTTCCAATACCCACTGTTGCAGAAGTGCCAGGGCAGCCCTGCATAAACAGCGTGTGACTGCCGAGGAGGCCAGTCTCACTGATACCTCTCTCTCATTTTCTCTCTCATTTCCTCTCTCCTCTATCTCTCTGTCTTTCATACACACACACACACACACACACACACACACACACACACACACACAAAGTTTTTCTGCTTCTTCCTGTGTGCTTTGTATTTTCCAAATGCCAATCTCTCCCTTTTGTACACCTAACTTAAAAAAATAAAAATTCCTGAAAATCCAGCAAATCCCCTCCTAATGTAAACCAGTGTGTATCGTGGGGGGCATGCTGGAATCAAAGCATGTTTGGGAGTCCTGGGTAGGAGTGCAAAGTGCTGCCGTAATTATACAAGTGTTTCTCAAGTTATCCAACTCTGTGCTCCCCAGAGAAAGGGAGATGAAATTCTCCTCCAATTCTTGCTGGGTGGATCGGATGAGATACCCTGTAATGTGACCTGCAGGGGGCTTTCCATTCAGGAGTTCTAACCAACTGTTGTTTCCTCCTACATTCAAACCCCTCAGGGTGACTCTATGCCCACATTTGCCTGAAACAATCCCAGTTTATTCCCATCATCCCTGCATAACTGTTAATAGCAATTATGTGTCCAGGTTTAGGCAACAAATTATATGTTCATACTATTTTTACCTTTTTTTGAATACTCTAATTAATCCCAATTTCAAGAATGTAAACTTGCTGGGAATAGGGGATGTCTTTCACTTTCTGGTATTTCATAAGGACTGAGGAAATTGAGTTTGTCCGATTAAGAACCCTGAGGCAGCCCCTGAGAATCGGATGACACTCCCAGACATACAATGAAGCTGGGTGGGAGCCCCTCCTTCCACGTAGCAATGGTAGTGTGCTTATCATAGGGGTGACTGAGTGGCCTTAGATGGAAAATGGACACCCGATTTAGAGGTGCTTTTTTCTAGGTTGGCATGTGCCTTTGGTTTTGTTTGTTTTTTTTTTTATTTACAAAATAAAAATAAACTTACTGTGTTTTTATTTATTTTATGTCATATACAGGGTTGGGCAAAAGTAGGTTTACAGTTTATTCTTGTATTATTATTTATTAATTATTGTATTATTTATTTATGTTACTTGTCTTTTTCCATATGAACAACTATAAGCCTACTTTTGCCCATTCCTGTATAATCATTTTAAGCATCTAGAGACTTATCAGAACAGAAAGTAAAAATGACTTGAAATCCTGTCACCCAGAGATAATCATTGCTTTTTTTTTTTTTTCAGAAATACTGTTTTATTTTACATCTTTTTAGATGTTTTCTAGTCTCTCTCATACCATACATGTATATACATAAGCCCAAGTATTCTGTCTTTATTATTTTCCTTCCTTCCCTTGTTTCTTCCCTCCCTTCCT